TAACCCCCAAATCAGTGTGCTGTGACCATTGGGTGTTTCCCCACTGTTTTATCCAGATTTTTGAATGTAGTTGCATAGAGGTGTTCTAGGTGTGAGTTTGGTGACTAATATATAATGACATCTTACATTTTTGATCACTGTTAATGTTTGTAATGTAATTCAGTCTTCCTATTTGTGGGTTGGCTACATTTCCTGCCAAGTAGCTGGTGGAAGCTGGGGGCACTGGTTTAGATGGAAACACCAATCATACAGCAAAATACTACACAGGGGGAAAAAACTTTAAAAATAGGCAAAAAAAGATGTGATATGAGTTTTTTCCCCCTGTGTAGTATTTTGCTGTATGATTGGTGTTTCCATCTAAACCAGTGCCCCCAGCTTCCACCAGCTACTTGGCAGGAAATGTTGCTTGTTGACTTGGTTACTCAAGAGTCCATCCCGGACTTTCAGCCCTAATCTGCTGTGATATCAGTGCCTTTGTGTTTCTATTCTTACAGGTTTCCTTTTGAGATTTACAGTATTTGTATAGCATTTTGTTTTATTTTGGTTGATTAACTGTTTAAGTAAAGTTGGATATTCATGGCAAGGCTTTCTTCTCAGAACATACCAATTTGTGTTTATTTTGATTCATCTCTTTGTTGTCTGGATTTTGTCTTCTTGTAAATTCCAGGAAGGATAATGCCAAAACTCCACCAGTTGGAACTAACTCACAAGTACTTCAAGAAGACAGTCATGGGGTCAGTCTTATTACAGAAAAAAGGCAAAAAGAGAAAAAAGAGAAAAGGATGTATATGGGGATGTATATGGGAAAAGAGGGGAAGGTGTTAATTTAGGAGCTGAGGTGTTTCTAATGAAGGTGATTCGCTGGTGGCTCTCACTGAGACCAGTCTCGGTACTCTGTTCTGAGACAGACTGACTAGGCCACGAGAGAGAAAACAAGTCAGTCACTTGTGGATTTTCCAGAATGCCTTGTGATGTAAGCTATGCAGGATATGTGGCCGACTGTCTCTGAACAGTGTCTGGCGGTGTCCTGTGGCAGCTGTGCCTTGCACGGGCCAGGAGGATGCTATTTTCCTCAGCAGAATTTCTTGACAGTTGATTTCCAGAGTCCTTGCCTGTTTGAAAGATTTTCCTGTTATCACAATTTCAGGATTTTCTGGCCTTAACGTTTTCCCTTTAAAATGCTACAGATACTGTTTCATTTTCTTCTAGCATATGAGATCTGTAAGATCCTTGATTTTTTTTCTTTGTATTTGGTCTAAATTCTTATAGTTGTCCTTTATTAACGTCCAGGAAAAAATTTTACCATGATGTATACCCTCCCAAACGACAAACCCCTTCAATCTGTAGATTCAAGGTTTCTTTTTTTCAACAGAATATTGTTGAAAGCTTTCTTTTTTTGTCCCTCTCTCCATAGTTTAGTTTTATCCTCAGGCATACTAGTTATAGATATGTTGAATTCATAATGCAGACCTTTGTATTTGTGTTTTATTTAACTGCCTTAATCTCTTTTGAATTTTATGTGGACTTGTGAGTTTTTCATGTCTGAAAGTGCCTTTTCATCCACAAAAGTTCTTCTATTATTTAGTCTTTAGGTTATATCAGGCTGAAAGCAACACAGTTAAATATCTAGCTTTAATGTTTTCAATTTCTGTCTACAAAATTTTAATTTTATTTATATATCTATATTGTAGAAATAAAAGCAACTATGATAAATTCAAAATAAAAAAACAAATTTATTTTCTGAATACTTTTACTCATTATTAAGTTTTAGCATTGAATCTGAACTTCTATATCTGATTTTATTTTTATTAATTGTAAATTTATTTTTAAAGATTTATTTATTTATGCATACAGAACTGGGGTCCAGGCCAGAGGTGCAGGGGTGGTGAGAGGATTCACCAGAGACAGAGTGGGGAGCAGAACAGGCAGACTGACGAAGTACACTGCTGAGGGGAGCAGCAGGTGGGTCAGGAGAGGTCTGCTCGCCCTGTAGGTCACCTCCAGGGCTGGGGATTGAACTTGTATCAAAGCAACTGTTGCTCACTTGCAGTGCTGCAGTTTAACCTGCAGCACCACCAGAGAGGGCCCTTAATTGTAAATTTTTATTGAGCAGGAATCACAAGCAATTTTAAGAAATAATGCAGAGCCCTTTATAGCCTTCCCCCAAAGGTAGTTTCTTGTAAATCATAGTATAACATCACACCCAGGATATCGACAGTAAGACAATCTACCAATCTTATTCAGATTTTTTTCATTTTACAGTTGTACTCATTTTAATGTTGTTATCTAGTTCAGTATAACTTTACTACATGGGTCAGTTCCTGTACCCAAGGACTTCTCCACCAGCTCTTAGCTACACCCACTACCCCATCTATCTCTTCTCCCCTCTATCATCTGCTCCTCTTCTGTTCTGAGCACCTTCAGCCACAAGTCTGTTCTCTATTTCTAAAATTTTGTCTTTTCAAAGTTTATATAAATAGAATAAACTAACTTTTGGGGATTGATTTTTTTCATTAAGTTGTCAAAGGTACGTGTGTAGAGTGTTTACAGAATGTCTTTACTATACTTTTGATGACTGTGGTCCATGAGGATGTCCTATTTCACTTCTGGTAAGTTGGTAAAGTTTATTTATATAACCTTTTGAAAAGACAAAATTTTAGAAATAGAGAACAGTTGTGGTTGAAAGGGTTCAGAACAGGAGGTGGGGCAGATGATAGAGGGGAGAAGAGGTGGGAGGGGGAAAGTGGGTGTAACTAAGAGCTGGAGGAGGAATCCTTGTCTTCTCTCTTTATTAGAGGTGATTTTAATTAGAGGTTTATCAATTTTATTGGCCTTTCATAGAACCAGACTTTGGTATTGATTTTTCTCTATTGTATTCAATTTTATTGATTTCTCCTCATCTTATATTTTCATCCTTCTATTTTCTTTGGCTCTTCTCTGATTTGATTTGAAACTTTCATATCATGGAAGACTATGTGGAAGCGTAGGTTTTGTAAATGTGAAAACGCCCCCTGCTTTTTAAAGAAACACTGGGGAAAATTGCAAGAGAAGGCTAGGGAGGGGACTGATACACTGAACAATTTGACACCCGAGGACCCAGCATGTAGTTGCTCCTGGAAAATGTTGGCTGAACTCACCTGATCCTGAGGGGCCAATGCTTAATTAAGGTGCTGGGCAAAATCGAGAGCGCGCTCCTTTACTTTTTCTGCAATGCCTCCCCCGGGCTGCGCGGTGGCGCTGCAGCCTCGCCGAGTACCGGGACGTTCTCGAGCCGTAGGGGAGCGCAGGCTTCTGGAACCCTCAGAGCGGCGGCGGCGGGAACTGGGGGCGCAGCGCGGGTGAGTGCGGGGTGTTCGCGACGGGCCCCTTGCTCAGCGCTCGTCCTGCGTCTTCCCGGCCTGGGTCTCTGCGCCCGACAGGGGGAGACCCGGGCCCGAGCTCGCGAACCTGCGGGGGTAGAAGCCCGGAGCCCCGCGGTCGGGGGCCCCTGAGTCCACAAGCCCGTGAGGGGTTGACGTGTGCCGAGGGGTCGAGGAACGCTGGGCAGGGCCGGGACTGATTGGCCTGAGGACCGGACGCGTCCCCTCCGCGCCTAGGCTCCTGCCTCCTCGCTTGTGGCGGAGAGGCCTGGGTCGCGGTGGTCTGCAGGACCCCATGAGCACCGACGTCGCGGCTCTGTGCTCGGGCCCGGAGTCCGTGCTCTGACCCCCGCCCTGCTCATCGCCCCACAGGCTCTCCCACCTGTCAACCTGGCCCTTCTCTGCTTGGATGGCGTCTTCCTTTCTGCAGCCGAGAATGACTTTGTGCACCGGATCCAAGAGGAGCTGGACCGTTTCCTGCTGCAGAAGCAGCTGTCGAAGTAAGTAAAGTGGGGGGCTTAAGGGGTAGTGTAGGGGCCTGCGACCGCCACTGTCTCTCTTGCTGCTGGAACCCCCGCCCCAGTAACAGTGGACATAACTGGCTGGCGGCTGGCTCAGACTTTAACCTTTGGGTTTAATAACCTGAGCCCCGGCCTTTTCCAGCTGCATCTTCTCGGTGGAATCCTGGCCACCACCTGGAGCCTCAGGGGCCCAGCACAGGAGTGAGGATGGGACCGGGGCTCCCTGTGATAATCTCTATGCTCTGGTCCTTTGCAGTTGACTGAGATGCAACTGGGCAGAGGGACACAAGTGTTAGCACTCTTTAAGCTTGGACTTGACCTGCTGGGGTCCCAGGGCTGCAGCTGGAACCCTGCTCAGCACCGTTTCCATCCCTTCCTAGGGTACTGCTTTTCCCCCCACTCTCCAGTCGTCTCCGGTACCTGATCCACAGGACAGCAGAGAATTTTGACCTCTTGAGCAGCTTCTCTGTTGGGGAGGGCTGGAGGAGGAGGACTGTCATCTGTCACCTAGACATCAGGTGTGTATACTGTCCTCGTGGAAGCCCTCACTTGCTTGTGGTGGGGCGAGCTGGGTGACTCCTGCGAAGGGAGAGCCTGGCAGGAACTAGGGTGGGGGTGGGCCCCCCCAGGTCGTTGCCTCAGCGCTTTACGGCAGTGCTGCCTTTTGCGTCAGCAGTGGAATAGCTGTGCATTTGTGAAATTCATTTAGCAAATTCTGCAGTGTATGTTGGACAGAAAGAGGTGGCACTTCAGCCCGTGGGCCTGTCTGGCATCCTCTCGGTAAGCTTGCTCCCCCGAGATGCCACAGTGTGAAAACATGTCTGAGCCTTCATTTGTCTGTTTCCATATGCTGTCACAGGATTTTATTATGACACTGAGCCTTGTGTTTTAGGTAGTAGTTAATTGCACAGTTCCAGAATGCAAGCCTCACCTTAGCTGGTGTAGAACCAAAGACCCAGCAGTCTTTTTTTTTTTTTTTAAATAATAGTTTATTTTTACATCATTTTGGGCCTTTTTCCATCTCAGTTATAATCCCTGTGAATTTCCCATCACCAAATCACCCGTGTGCCATGACCATAGTCCAGTGCACTCCCCCTCACCTCCCCACTCCCCCCACCCTCCATTTTTGATCCCATTCCCCACTCCACCCCCGTAAAATGTCTCTAGTATATAGTTGTTCATTATTATTGTTATTTTCTCCCCTGGTCCTTTATACTCCTGCTATGAGTGAAACCATCCCTTTTCTTTCTGGCTTATTTCACTAAGCATGATCCCTTCCAGCTCCATCCATGTTGCTGCAAAAGGCAAGTGTTTATTTTTTTTGATTGTTGAGTAATATTCCATTGTGTAGATGTACCATGTCTTTTTAATCCAATCATCTACTTTTGGACATTTGGGCTGTTCCCATGTCTTTCCAATTGTAAATAAAGCAGCAATAAACATGGGGGTGCAGGCATCTTTTTTTTTTTTTTTTTTTTTTTAAAGATTTATTTATTTGTGCATACAGAACTGGGGTACAGGCCAGAGGCTCAGGGGCGGTGAGAGGCTTCACCAGGGACAGAGTGGGGAGCAGAACAGGCAGATCGACGAAGTACACTGCTGAGGGGAGCAGCGGGCGGGTCAGGAGAGGTCTGCTGCGCCATGTGGTCACCTCCGGGGCAGGCGGGAATCGAACTCATGCAGAAGTGGCTTTAGCTTCTCAGTGCTGTGCTTTAACCCGCTGCGCCACCAGGGAGGGCCGCAGGCATCTTTTTGAATGAGTGTTTTTGTGTCTTTTGGGTGGACACCTAGGAGTGGGATTGATGAGCCCCAGCAGTCTAATATAATTTACAAACATGAAGGAGAGCTGACTGTTTGGGCTTGTTTAGAGATGGCATTCAGCCTTCACCATGACTCCTCTCTTTGGATTTTGCCTTATGCTGCCGTGAGAGCCTTGTGCCTGAATGGCAGGTCGCACCAGTGAACCATTTCCCTTGGGGCCCAGACACTGCTCTGATCACCTTTCCTGCTCTTGCTCCAGGTTACCCAGTTCCGATGGCCTCACTGGCTCCTGCCGCCCTCCTGCCTCCCAGCCTGGCAAGTACCGAGGTCCTCGGCCCACTTCACATCAGGGAGTAGCTGGTGGAGCCCGTGGGGCACGGACGGGCCGGTGGCAGCGTGGACGTAAGCCAGACCGGGCTTTGTATGTGCCCCGGGTGCTACGCAGGCAAGGAGAATGGGCGAAGGCCCCCACTCCAGGGCCCAAGGGAGACACTGCAGTTGGTGGGTTCCTGGAAGAGCCTGGGGAAGTTGGCGCTGGGGAGCCCAGTTCTGATCAGGAACACCCCGTGCTGGTGACGCGGCCAACAGAGGATCTAAAGGACCCGGGCCACAGTTGTGAGAAGGAGCCACAGCCAGACCCTGCTGGCACGGAGCCCCCGAAGCCTGAGGACCACTCAGGAATGGGAGACAGGCCTGCGATGGTCACGCAGGTTGGGTCTGGCCAGGAGCTCAACTTGGAAGAGGGGATTGGAAATGACTTGGAGAAGAGCCTGGTGGCAGAGGAAGAGGAGGAGGATGAAGAGGAGGGGCCTGGAAGCTGCTCCGAGGATGATTGCAGTGAACTGATGCAGGAGGTGATGAGACTCTTAAGCCTGGAAGAGGGAGGTGGGTGTAGCTGGGGGGACCGAGGGTCATGGTGCCGAGGGGCCTGCTGAGCAGGATTGGTGCGGGGAGGATCCTTGCCCAAAGGAGTCAGGACTGAAAGAAAGGGGAGGAGCAGGAGGAGCAGGACGAGGAGTCAGGAGGTGGATTTGGGTCTCAGCTCAACCCTGCTGGAACTCTTTCACCATGGGCAAAGAAAAAGCCATGTTGCTTTTCATAGTCTCAGCTTCCTCCTCTGAGGAAGCAGGCGATGATGTGGCACTCACAGGGCACTGGAATCGGGAATGGGTGTGTGTAGGTGGGCTACAGATGCCACATGCTTCCGTCAGTGACGGGCCACGTAGAACACGGGGTCTCAGTAGGGCCTTGGGGTGAGGTGTGTGTAACTGCACTCGCCGACTGCACAGTGACCGGAGCTCGGAATGATGCGTTTCGCAAACTGTGCTCCTGTTGTTAAGTGACACGTGACTGCAGCTGCCAGGCACGACATTGCCTCTCCTGCTTGCACTTCTGTCTTAAGAAACTTTGTTTCCTTGGAATTGTGTGTGCCCCTGAGGCTGGCAGTGGCGTATGCTGGGGAGGGTGAGCCTCTTTTCCTGTTTTCTGGACGGATGGCGGGGACTGGAAAGGTTCGCTTAGGAACACATCCTTCGTAGGGGAAGGACAGGTGCCGGGTTTGCCCAGCCTGGTCTCTCACTGACTGCAACTTTGGGCAGAATGACATACCCCTTTGGGCCCAGTTGCCCCACTCATCAAGCCGCTATATAGAGTGGAGCTTTTGGGATTCTATGAAACCAAGTGTGTGTGAGGGCCAGCGGGGACTCCACGAAAGTCAGTTGCTTTCTTAAAATCCCCTCTTCTCATCTTCCGGCCGACTCTGGGCTCTCACTGTTCCAGACTCCTGCCCACTGTGCTCCCCCTGCCCGGAGCCCACACCCCTTAGTGGCTTCAGAGTGGTTAGGAGCCATGGTGCAGAGCTGCCTCTCTGAGACAGCTGGTTTCTCCCAGATAATGGACAACCTGACCACGAAGGAGATTCAGGTGGAGAAGATCCATGTGGACACGTCCTCCTTTGTAGAGGAGCTGCCTGGAGAGAGAGATTTTGCCCACGTGGTGGAGATCTATGACTTTGAGCCCGTGCTCAAGACGGAGGACCTGCTGGCAGCATTCTCGGAGTTCCAGTGAGTGTTGGCAAGGCTTCAGGGAGGCCGGAGGGGCGGTGCCACCTGCTAAAGAGGAGCTGGCCATCCCTTCGTCTTGGGCACATTTGCTCACCCACCCCCATTGCCCAGCAAACTAGGGAAAAGGCTGCGTGGATGTGGCAATTGTGGGCTCTGACTTCCTGGGCAGCGCCCCCTGGTGGCCGTGACTGCCAAACAGGAGTGGGGGGGCGGGTTGGCTTGAGACTAGCTCCAGAGGCCCTGACCTGGCAGTGCCAGCACAGGGTGGCAGGCCTCTGTCCTGCCCTGGGCGTGTCCACAGGCCCTCCAGCACCTGGTACCTTCAGGATGTAGGATGTGGGCAGCCCCGCCCTCCCACCTTGCTCCATGTCCACTCCCCTCGGTCCACAGACAGGGAGGGCTCTCTCTTGCAGAACCTGTTTCTGGTGAGAGCTGGGCCTGACTCCCCGGGGTAAGGTCAGGGTGGGGATGGGCACCAAATATATATTGAGAAAGGAGGCTTCTGTTCCTCAAATTCCTTTGCGTCGGACTTTGTGTTTTCTCTCCCTTTTCTTCTTTCTTTATTCCCATTTGCCTTTCTCCATTTGCTCGCTCTTTTTCTGCTTAAGCTGTTAAAATTCCCTTTCTTCATGGTCTCTTTTCTGGCTCTTCCCAAACAGCGTTCCCTCGCCTCCCTGGGCCTCAATGCAGGAAAGCTGACGGAACCTCTGGGTGGGACGTAATGGGCTCCCCTCTCTTTGCTGAAGGTGTGGGCAATGCCCTGCCTTCCCCCACCCCACCCCTGCACATTAGCCCTGTTTCTCCAGCCGTGGAGCCCTGCCCTTGTCCTGGCTGGGGGAGCGGCTGTGAGACGTCCCGCACTCAGCATTACACACCACGATCTCCTTGAGTCTGGGTTTCTTCAGTTCTGGGCACTGAACTCCCCTATCACCAAGAGTGAATCACAGGGCTGTCGGAGAAGAGCCCCTCCTTCCCAGAGGAGGTGGGCGCTGTCTCAAGCTCACAGGGCCGGAGAACTGAAGGTGGGAGGGGACTTCTGAGGCAGAAAGGGTCGAGCCTGTTTGCTCGCATAATCACTCTGTCTTCTCTTCCTCGGCACAGAGAAAAGGGGTTCAAGATTCACTGGGTGGATGACACGCACGCACTTGGTGTCTTTCCCTGCCTCGACTCAGGTAACATAGCTTCTCGGTGGGCTCAGCCCTTCTCTGCTGCTGAGCAAGTTGGTTTCTGTGGGTGGTTGCACCCCATGTCCAGGTTGCAAGTGGGCTGTGGGGCCTCCTCCCAGCTCTTGTATTCCAGAAGTTGAGGGAGAGCAGAGCAGCTCTGGGCCAGGAAGCTCACAGCCTTTCCTCTTCTTGTTAGTGCGTTTAGTTCAAAGGGGCCGATCTGGTAGGTGACATGCAGGGGCACAGGTCATAGGCCCCCCCTAGATCTTCCCCCTGGTAGATGAAACCATTTGAAAATGCTGTTTTTATAGGACAGAACCATTCAAATACTGGTGTTTTCATGTGGTTCAAGCAGATGCCTTCCTATTCCATTTTTATTGCAGCCTCGGGAGCTATTCAGATTACCTCCCTTTTACAGATGGGGAGACAGGTTTTTCCAGAACGACTGTGGTCTGTGCAAGGCTTTGACGCCTTTCGGTGTCAAAGCTGTAACGCCAGTGCTTCTTCTCCCTCTTGGCAACCACCCCAGAGCTCACTTTGGGTGTATGTTGAGAGTAACCAGCCACCCACCCAGCGCTTCTCAGAACCACGACCTCTGAACACTAGAGCTGGGAGCATTCTCAGCCAATGTGGGCTCAAAGCTCAGGGGGCCCGGGGTTTCGGGGAAAAGGCATGATGGGGCCACCAAGTCCAGAGACACTGGGAGGGAAGTGGACAGGATGCCCAGTGCCACAGAAAGGACACTTGGGTGAGGGGCGGCTGTGGCTGCCTCGGGGCTCTGCCTCGCACTCTGTGGCATGAGCCAGTCATGTTCTGGCCTCAGTTTCCTCATCTGTAAAAGGGTGGGTTCACCTGAGAATTCTCCCAGCTCTGACATGCTTGGGGAGTAGCCTACGTGCTTTTCAATCGCTGCTCAGGTCAGGGAGGGTCTGGAAGGAGAGGGTTAGTAAGGGTAGAATTTATTTTAGCTCCTGGGATTTTGAAGGTGGGGACCTGCTTCTGTCAGAGTTGCGGCCTCTCTGTTGGGCTTCCTGACACATGCAGGCCGGGAGCATGAAGCGGGCTTCTGTACCAGTTTTCCACCTGGTCCCTGGCAGGCCTGTGGGTTGTGGGGTTGAGGCGAGTGCATGGAGGTCATCTCTTGGCCAGTGGGGATGGTGTCAGGGCATGCTCATGAAGCAGCTGCGTCAGTTTAGACAGTAGGCTAGTTTTAGCGGCGGGTCTTACTGGGAGGAGGGAGGAATGACTCCAAATCACCTTTTCTCCACAGCTGCAGAAGCCCTGGCCAGGGAGTTCTCAATGCTCAAGATTCGGCCCCTTACACAAGGAACCAGGCAGTCGAAGCTGAAAGCCCTTCAGAGGCCAAGTAAGGCCGCCAGGGTGGCTGGGGAGGCCTGGGGTGTGGGTGTGGGTGTGGGTGCGCTTTGGCTGGGTGGGGCTTCCTCTCACCTTCACTTCAAAGCCTGTGATTCTCTGCTTTAGGACTCCAGTGGTACAGTAGCCAGTGGGGTGCCCCTCCAACTCCCCAGGGGGGTGGGGCTGCCGAGAAAGGGGGGTCTCCCCCAGGAGTGCTGTCTCCCAGCTGCTTGCTTCTGCCGGTGCCCTCCCTTCACACTGCTTCTATTTTTCAGGGATTGACTTACTCTTTTCTGTACGACCCTGGAAATCAAATTTTGCAGTAGGGTATAAGAGCCTGGACTTTGGGGTCAGCCCTAGGTATGATCCTGGTGCTGCCATTTTAAGTTGAGCTTAAACAAGTCACTTGAGGCCACTGAATTGCTTCTCTTTGTGTAAAATAAGCAGATGGGACAGAGCAGCCTCTCTGTGAGAAGAGCCGAGCACGTCAGGGCAGACCTGTCTGGAGCCTCCCCTTTCCTCTCCTTCCAGAAAGTTTGAAGGAGGCGTTCAGACGCCAGTTTTCCATGGCTGCTGAGTTGCAGCTGCCAAAACTGACCTGGAAGAGACCCGCCGAGGCTGTCCACGCCCTGTGGATTTTACGGCCTCTGGCCTGGACTTTTTGGGGACAACGAATACGCTGTCAGTCAGCCCAGAGCCGCCAGTGTCCCATCTTGTCTTGATTTCCCTCCTGAAGGGCCATGCAGAGTGGGGAGGTTGACAGAGAAGTTGGGTGGGCCCAGGAGGTGGCAGGATTGGCCTAGGTCCACAGACCCCAACGTCCTGGGTAGACTCCTCTCACCAGCCTCTGGCCACACTCCAGGACACCTGGGCCTCAGGCAGTGGCAGATGCTACGGTGTTGTTGGGAGAAAGGCACTTGCAGCCTGGGATTCAAGTCTCCACCCATGGGGCTTTCCTTTCAGAGCTGCTGCGTCTGGCAAAGGAGAGGCCACAGACAAGTACAGTGGTGGCCCGTAGGCTGGTGGCCCAGGCGCTGGGACTACAGCGCAAAAAGAAAGAGCGGCCTGCAGTCCAGTCTCATCCTGCCCCGAGTCCCAGCGATGCCCCAGCCAGCCCCGATCTGAGCCCTCAGGCCTGAGCTGGTGCCACCACAAGCCTTCACAGACGCCCAAACAGCCCCGTGCTCTCCCTGGGGGCTCGCTGAGAGGCTTGGCAGGCTTTTAGTTCCAGAAGTTGAGAAAAAATAAAATTTTTAAAAAAGTTGTTATGATGTGGCTTCTTTAAGCGCTTCAGCTTTGGGACACTAGGGGGTGCTGTTTGTCTCATTTTAGACCCGGGGCTGCTGAAGAAGTGGGTCCCGCTAGAGTGGCCTAGGGGAATCCAGCCAGGCCTGGAAGGTGTTTTTGCACAGAACCTGCAAAACAGGAGGTATGTTGCACCTGTGTGTGGCCTCTTCTAGTCCCCCGCAAGGCAGGTAGCCTAACCTGCTGCCATGTGGCTGCCCCGCTGGAGGCTGATGGCTGTGCGGAGGGCCTGGCTCCTTGGACTGGTCCCAGCGTGTCATCCACTGTGGGATGCAACAGGGCTGCTGGCAGGTGTCGTGGAGAATGCTCCCCTCCCAGGAACACCCGAGTGAGGGCATCTGAGGACAGGATCAGCGTGCTCTTTGCTGAGGACAGGGTGGTCCGGGCATTCCAGGTCCTGGTGCAGCGCGCTGACTTGGAGGCCGCAGCACGTTGACCCTAGCGGGAGCTGCTGCTCCGCTGCTGGGAGTGGCCGTCTTGGTGTTTACCCTCAAGGTGCTCAGCCTGGAGGAGCCCCGCTGGGCCTGTGCCTCTGCTCTGCATCACCGCGCCTTCCCTGCCCTTTGGGGAGGCCTCCCAAGATGGTTTAAATGTAGGTGCCCCCTCTATTCCTAGCACGATGACTAAACACCCCGACAAGTTTCAGTAGAATGAGCATTCAAGGAAGGCTGTGACTTGAATTTTTGTGACTTGATTTGCTTCCCCCAGTGGGCAGAGCTGCTGTTCTGTGGTGTGTACTGAAGCCTCACCGCGGCCCCCCCCC